GTGTCCAGTATGTTAAAGTGGAGCTAAAAGCAGACTCAGTGGAGAGAATAATAAAGATTTTAGTGAAAGTAGCTGGGTGAGCATCTGGCTGAATAGCAGGGTGTGTAAAGGAAAGGTTCCGACCTTATATTTCCAGTGATCCAGTGGAGGGCAGGGCCATAGGCATGTGAGAGCGGTGAGTTTGCAGGCTGACTTGGTGAGTTTTGACAGCAGCGACCAGCATCTAGGTGATTGTACTGCAGGTGAGTTGAATCAGAGTCTTTGGCAAGAGAACTGAGGCACAAAGAGACAAAAGTAAGCACGAGGCAAAAAACATGAACAACAACTAGCATGAAAGCCTGGGTACCACCGTGAGGTAGCTGACAACAGAGTGAAGGGCTGAGCTTGTCTTAAATGTCATTCTGCTGATTGCCATTGATGGATCACTGGCTGCAGAAGACCACTGAGAAAGGCTGCAGCAGATGGCCCCGCCCCTCCCTGAGCCTGGTTCTGCCGAAGGTTTCTTCCTGTTAAAAGGGAGTTTTTCCTTCCCACTGTCGCCAAAGTGCTTACTCATAGGGGGTCATATGATTGTTTGGGTTTTTTTTCTCTGTATGTATTATTGTAGAGTCTACTATACAATATAAAGCTCCTTGAGGCGACTGTTGTTGTGATTTGGCACTGTATAAATAAAATTGAATTGAACTGAATTGGTGGGAGAAGCAGGTGAGAAAATAGGGCTACACCCTCATAGATGGGCACAGGAAAACACAGTGCCCAAGTCAAAAAACACCAGACACTCAGTTTTCTCTTGTTCCTTCCTTACCATTGCTAACTAACATATTAAGTGTATTGCCAAGCAAACACTTGCAAATTAATGTCAGAGTTTCACCTCTGATACAGCTGGATAAACAGAAACTCATTCAGGAACGAGGTCACACAGAGCTCTGGTTTACACTCACCGCGAGGGAAGCAGTTGTCTCCAACCCACTTCGACTTGCTTCCCCCTGCAGGTTGCTTTTATTGTTTACATACATGAATATTCATAAAGCTTGTTGCTGTGTTAACTAAGACAAATAACTATATATGTTGACAAAGTGTGTTGTGCAAGCGTGGTTATACGATGTGAGTGGTTATATGATGTGAGTGCAGTCCTACCAGGATGTTGTTGTTACCTTGTCCCGCCAGGTGGCTTCCTTCATTGAGTGGAGTCTGTTCTTCTCAAGGCAGATTTTTCTCATTATGAAGGTCGTGCACATACTCATATGCGTGGGTTACATAGGGAGCAAACAAAAGCATTCTAGCTTTTTAAATGACAACCTACAACACATTAACCCTAACATTTATAGTCCTCTATTCTTACTACAGCTCATCATTTGTCAGTGCTTCTCTTTACATTTCTGTCCTCATAATTGTGCTCATTTTCATTTATGTTGTGTTTGTCTGGTAAGTTTGTATGCTTATTACATATAACTGATGTGTAATTTCTCTTTAACCCCCTTTAAATTGAAAAGCTAGATTAAAAATGAGCACTTAAAAAGTATGTTTTTCTTATCTTAATGGGGGGTTTTGCACATTTGTCGACCTCTGTGGGCTACTAGAAAAATTGCATTTCTTTACAATGTTGTGAAACCTGTTGAACTTTACAGCTTTTTGGACAAGTGTCAGGCAGTTATGCGCGATTCCTTAAGATATGTGCAAAAACAGACTCACAGACTCTCACATTTAGAAGGGGTTTCTTCAGGGGGCGTATGTGATGTTTGATTTGGCAGATTTTTACAC